AAATGATGTTACATACGAGGTTGATGCATTTGTGCATGTCGTACTAAGCAAGGTATAAAAACAGTTGCTTTATGAGGAATTAGTTCGTACCATTGAATATTTGACGCAATAGACAAGGTGTCGCAGAAACCGATGTTGCTATAACCAAGTTTTACTGTATATGCCATTATGGCATGTATTATGGAGAATTTAGATAGGAACTATAGAAATAGGTACATTTACATTCTATCTGACGGCCAAGCTGCATTTAAAGCGCTTGACAAACACCAGATAAATTCAAAATTGGTCTGGGATTGCCACCAAACCCTCATGGAACTGGCCAAACATAACAGGGTACAACTGATATGGGTGCCAGGGCATGAGGGTATTGCTGGAAATGAAACAGCAGACCAATTAGCTAAGATTGGAGCTGAACATCCATTCATAGGACCTGAACCAGCCTGTGGCATCTCTATAGGAGTTGCCAGACAGGCAATCAGGGACTGGACAAACATGAAACACAAGAAATAATGGGGATCCTTAACTGGATTCAGGCAAGCAAAGGGACTCATATGAGGACCTTCTACTAAAAGAGCAAAGGAACTGTGAAGTTAAACAGGAACCAGCTACAATGGGTGGTAGGACTACTTACAGGACACTGTCACCTCAAAGGACACCTGTTCAAACTGGGATTAAGTGATAGTCCCACTTGTGAGAGGTGTCAAGTAGAAAACAAAACAGCCACACATATCCTGTGTGAATGTGAGGCCTTAGCTTATTTAAGACTATGTCACTTGGGTCAACACTTTATGGAACCAAGTGACTATTTCGACGCCCCCATGTACAAAATCCTGCGCAAGCGCAGGATTGCTGAGGGGATAATCAAAAGGGGAAGCACAATAGACCACTGTAGGTTGTGGAGCGAGGGCCAAGAAGGCCTACCCCTCATACATTCATTCATTCAACTTATCAGTCTTGTATTTTAAACTTCTAATATTCTGAAGAAAAACTCTTAAGTATTAGTATTAGTAGATGTCTGATGTATAAAATGACGATTATTATTGCTAATATAATTATATGATTTATGCTCATCAACCAGTTTATGCTTAGCAGTACTATCTATTGCTGGGATCAACATTTTTAATAACCTGCCATCTGATCTCAAAGGTCTTATGAATGAAAGGGCATGATTTAAAATAGCACTGAAACGATACTTAAATACACATTCATTCTACTCTGTTGATGAATACCTACTGTCTAGAAAACAACTTATATATCTTTAAATAGCCTTGTGTGTAGTCACTGTGTATTCTTGGTTTCTCTTGTGTGAGAACTCCATTGGGTCTGTAAATATGTTTTGTATTTATATGACATATTTCACATCGTACAGTCACTTTGACTAACTCTGGATCCATGGAAAGCAATGCAATAATTAATAATTACATACTAAATGCACTTGATATAACAAAATATAGTCACCACATGAAAAGCAAGACCTAAAGGTGTGATAATGGTACATGAATACAATGACTGGTTCTCTGAACACTATCCACCATCCTAAACATTTATTTAAAATCACTTTCAGATATAGGGACTGCCTCTATTGACTGGATCCAACACAGCAGGCTTTAACATGAATGTGGGGACAAGATCCAATTTTTTAAATGTCAGTCCAAACAAAAAACTAGGATACTCAATAGCCAAAAAAATTAACCACTGTATTGAACTGAAAAAGTTACAGCAATTCACAACAGCCCTTTCAATGCTGCAGTTTTTAGATCTCCAATTGCGAGCAGCTACTTTAAACTGTCAATCTGCAAAACAGATTACGAGTCACCTCATAAAACTGGTTGCAATTCTTAATTTGCAGTTATATGAAAAATACATTCCTATTATTATTTCTGTATGACTGTTTTTTAGTTTCAGGCTAACTACTAGCCACCAGTTTCAAAGAATAGCGCAAACAGTCAATAATCAAACATAGGACCAACCTCAATTAATGGTGCGTGGAATCACCAACAATTGTATTTACTATAGCACTGTCACACAAATCTTTACTTTATACCACACTGCTTTATTCTATGGGTTTTTAATGATGCTCTTCCAACTAATTAGGTTAGGTAGTACCATGTGGTAGAATGACTGACCTGGAACGGTTACAAAAAATCTTGCAAGGGCTAACCACACAATCATCGGGGCCTGTATATTATTAGCGTATGGCAACGTTTCAGGGAAAACGGTTGTTTCCATCCTAAATGTAGGAAAATATTTACTTCTATAAAATGTCTCAAATGACCGATTAAATACGGTCAAGTCAGTCGCAAACCATTGACCAAATTTGGCGGCAATCTATTTATGTAAAATTTACATTACTCAGACTTGCTTGAAGTAGCATACTGTTCTATACTTACTAATGTCTGTCTTTCTTTGATATTATTACTGCGGAGTAATTCGTATTCAGATACATCAGACATTACTTACACAAAATCAATTTTATACGTCATCTACCATACCTATAATACCTAATCGCGCCAAAATATCATTCTCAGAGGTATGAGAACAACAGCCATTCCACAGGTGATATGATATCAGGAAGACCAACATGTACCATAGTTACTTCCCTAGAGGAATTTGAAATCTCCCTAATGTGTTACCAACATATAAACTTTATGGATTACATCTTGTGCATTCCATTGTTATGTGATTTGAATTGTCAACACAACGAAAAGAAGGATATCTTGAAGGTGGAAACGAAATAGATGTTGTGATGTCTCTTACTTGTTTATTGTAAGCAGGTGTACGCTACATGTTTCGACCTTAACTTAAGTCATCATCAGGCAAATTCCATAAAATATAAACTAAGTTACTTGAATTCAATTGCCCTAAAATGGACCAATGTTATGTATTTTTTGTAATTGTGATTATTAGCGAATACGCCTTACACAATATATGGGCAAGTTAAAACGAAGTAAGCTTGTTGTTAGAGGTTAAAACATATTAGGATTTTATTAATATAATGTCCTAAAACAGACATAAAAAAGTAAAAAGTCAGGTTACCCTCATCGTGTCAAATCTCTATATGGAGTAATTCCTAATCTAAATCATCATCAAGCATGTTACAATTAGATGTAGGTTTTTGGTGTTGTCTTGGGGTCGCGAATATTATAGGACCATGCGCGAATGCTCTACGTGGGAGTCTTCTTACGTTTCTTACCACCTTGCGATCCTTGCGATATTCGTAGCGGTTGCACCTAGATATGCATAGAGTGCAGGGCATTCGCTAATAGTGTATAAATTTCTTTATTCCGTGTCGGAAATTACCGGGGATTGAGAGCACTCTAATACACTTCGATGTTCCGTGGGCTAATTTGTTGCATTCTAATTACCCCGATGACCCTGATCACGCTTATGACGCTTATGACCACTGTGCCGTGCCGTGCCACAGCTTAAGCGGTTAGTCGCTGGCTTCCCACCGAGGCGGTCTGGTCCAGTGGGATTTGTGATGGACAAAGTGGCACTGGGGCAGGTTTCCTCCGAGTACTTCGGTTTCCCCTGCCAATCTTCATTCCATCAAACTCTCCATAACCATAACCACCCAGGATATATATCATTCGAATCATAATTTTATTATCTTTGTATACTATTATATCATTGTGTTATATATTGTATTATTATTATTATTATTACTATTATTATTATTACTTATTGTATTGTAAAGTATTTGACTTGTCCTATATCATGTACAATGATCCATGGATATGATATGAAATAAATAAATAAATAAGTACGGGGGAGAGGCTATCGCGGTCCGCTGTTTCTCGCAGTTTCTCGGAATTCTCGGAAGTTGAGGTCGTTGAGCGGTCGTTGGGGTCGTTGGGTTGTTAGTGGTCGGTAACAGTCACGTGGTTTGATGGTGTCAGCTGTGTCAGATTCGGGTTTTAAAATTTACTTTGTGCTCTACTTTGTGCATTTATAGATTGGTTTCGTGAGAGAAATAACAAGATTCGGATTACTGACAAGATGATTAAAGTCAACATATGGAACTTTGGAAAGAAAGCCCAGCGTCATGTTAGTGTTACGTTTACGTTTTTATTATTATGGCAGGAAACAAGACAGTAAGGGCTATCCTTGTGTTAAATATATAATCTGCAGTAGTGTGACTTGAAGCTAGGGCACTTCATAACAATACGTTATTTTAGAAGAAGTAATGTTAATTGTTCCTTTTAGCCTTTGGTATACATAGTGGATATTGATAATGAAAAAATTGGGATTTGGGTCGATAAGCGCGTACTCTTATACACAACAGGACAGGACAATATGAGATTGTTTTAAGCACTCTGAAATCCAAGAGAGAGATTTGTTATAACTGAATTACAGATAAGGGGGATTGCTTTACACGTATGTTGCATGCAACCATCTCTGCCACATCTCCATGTTAATTGCCGTTCACATGCAATGTATCCCTCTGTCACACATTTGAAAGGCAATTTGTTACAGAGCTTTACTGCTCATTGAGGGTTAGTATCACTTGTAATGTATTTGTCACGTCATTTGTGACATGTTTTCTTCAATCATCTTGCTCCTAATGTATGGTATGCGGGATGTCAGTGTAGCCAATGTAGATGTATGGTTAGTATGTCACTGTGTGAGTACCATGCATGTTCTAAAATTGTTCCACAGTCTGAATATTAGGGTAGGTCATTGATGTTGATTTCAGATTTGAGGAATTTGCAATCTAGTATGAACTCATAAAACTAAAATTGCAGTGAGTGCTTTGTCATAAGGTTCAAATGCAAAATTGTAATATTTCTATGGCTGTAATTATTATGCAGAGAATGTGGTCACATAAAACAATGTACACTTTTTGCATTCAGTTTTTCATTCTGTCTAGAACAAGACTGAAGAACAGACAAAAGTATGAAAGACTCTGGCTTTGGAATTGATATGTGTGTGTAATTTTAAATAATGAGATCTGTATTAACGCTTTTAGGACTGTTACTGCATTCTTGCCGATTTTCCCTTTAAAACCACCATCTGAAGATTTTGCCCCAGCAAATATGAGGTTTATGTATATTTTTATATTTATTTTGTTGTTTGAACTGTTGTAGAATCTGAGCTCTTAGTGATTCGGTTATTTTCTATCTAGATGTCAGAAGGGCAGAAATATAGAAATTATGGTTCAGATGTGTCAAGATAATGGATTGTGTTGTTTACAGATTAGCAATTAATTTCAGATGTTCTAATCTGGTTAGAGTTAAGTATGATGATAGCAGCACAATCAGGATGCATCAGTGACAATATTTTAGTTTTTTGTAAAAGATCATTTGTGTAGAAAGTGCATAGGTTTGAAGAAGTACAGATTGTTCTAGTAACCAGTAATTGGGAGAAAAAGTGTATCTGAAAATGTTCCCTTGATGTTCCTTTCCTTTCTAGCCTTTAAATAATTCAGATGTATTTGTTAATTTCAACTTTTTGTGTATGAAAATCTGTTTTGCATGGAAGGTGTGTTGGAGGTATAGATAACATTGGTGCCTGACTGGTTGGTCTTTAAAAGTGTTCGTATTTTGAGTTCAGTATTGAATCACATATGAATCTAATATCATTTATGATCTAGTTTATATGTGCTTTGGTTTTGTCAGACCCTATTTAGTTCTCCAAAAATAATGTTACCACAAGCTCAGGAATAGATATGTAGAGGTCTAAAGACAGGACATTTTTTCTACCAATAAGAAGAACAAACTAATCACACTTATATACTGAATTTTTGTTGAAAAAGGAGTGTTTTATTAAGTGCCACTTTATTATTATTGATATTCTCTTAATTTGTTTCACTGCTGCCAGTTTGGTACATGGTATCAAATGAGTAAGGATGTAGCAACAAGGATGGCTCCAGACTTTATGGAAATGTCAATGGTAAATGCTAATTTAATTCCATTCATAGGGCTCTGCTACAGTGATATATTATAATTCTTGACAGTTTTCTTATTTTTAAAACTTTTCATTTTCAGAAAGCTATATCTTCATTTTTTACTTCATCGAAAAAGAGCTATGCAACAGAAGCAACATTTGAAACAAAGGTAAATTTACACCAGTATTAAATTCCTATACCTTTCATAGACAGTTCTTTACAGATTGAAGTATACTGTGAATAAATGTATTTATGGTTTCCTTTCCCATATAGTCAACCAGCCTGTTTTGAAATTTATGGAAAAGAGAGGAAAAACAAATTTATCAAAGTTTAATGCTTGCACTAATTAAAGCATCACAAACTGAATTATACAGGAACATCTGAATGATTCTATTTCAGCCTTTTCGCTTGCATCGACTGGAAATGGGACCGTCGAACACTGTTACAGTGACTCGTGATGATGCCTTGGCACTTTATGAACAGATGCATACCATTAGAAGGATGGAAACTGCAGCAGGCAATATGTACAAGGAAAAAATTATTCGTGGCTTCTGTCACCTATACTCTGGACAGGTGTGATTTACTTAATCCTTTAGGATTGCATGTTAGATAATGTAAAGGCACACAATTGACAGCAATATGTGTAGCCTATCCTGTAAGAAATTGTGTAAATTTATTGCACATGGCACCGTCACCTATCAGAAAGATTTTAAAATAAAAACATGGTATTTTTTTGCGCTTAAAAAATTAGTAAAAAATCACATTTCAAATACTCATACAGTTTAGTCCTGATTATCTGACCTTTGGTTATCTGACATTCTCTCATATCTGATGTGCCATTTACAGTTTTGTGCTTCGCGTGCGCGTAGACTAATTTGTTTATTCCTGCTGCTGCTTTGTGTGTCATTGCATCTCGTACCGCAATGAACATAGCTTCGTTTGTTGGTCTGCACTAGTGGTATGTGTTTATACCCATATATATTGTGATTGTGTTTTATTTTTCCAGTTTCATTTTCCCCTTAGTATCATTTTATTATTTGAGGAATATGGTAAGAGAAGAGAGAAAGAAAGTGGTGATTTCAGGTGAACAGAACTTGAAGCCTTAAAGGGACTAGACAAACATGACAACAAAGATAATGATGCTGGGACTGGACTGGGACTAGACAGAATGGAGAGAGTGCCACTGGCTTACATTGAACAAGGGGAGACAACTGCTACTGATGTCATGCCATTAAGATGCAGATGCAACCTTTTCGCAAGGAAGAGAAGCAAAGCTGGGAAACAAACTTCAGTCACTCCTATTTTTAAACAATAACTTTTGCCATTTGCCATAATGTATACTAAGTGTTGCATTTAACTAATTTAAAAGCCACTGTTCAGTTTATTAAATTGGAATATTTCTTTAAATAATAGGTCTGTGCTCTGTTATGCTAGTTGCACTGTAAAATAATTATTAATAAACATGATTTCATGAATGAGTGAATAAGGGGTAGGCCTAACCTACCCTTGCACTGTGACCTATTGTGCATACCTTTATTTCAATCCCTCAACAATTCTAAACTTCGAATGATGTATAGTATCTTACTTACAGGGGTGTCTTGGTAGGCATGTTGCTCCTTGAAGCAGTGGCCCAGAGTTAGTCACATAGGACATGTGTCTGGCTGATTCATCTTTTTCTAGTCACCTATCACAAATGGGACTCTTCACCGATTCAACTTAACCTGATTTCATACTTGTACTGGACTTCTATTAAATTTGAGATTTGTTTTGCCCACCCACCCATTTCCATATTATGCAAAATTTTTGTTGTTCCGACCACCTGTCAGTCCCATTTAGGTTGAATGATCAGGGCTGTGCTGTAATACGTATTTAATGATACCTTAGATAGATGGGGGGCACGCTTTAGCGTAGTTGGTTGAGGCACTATGCTACAAGCTGGAAGGTAGCGGGTTCAAGTCCTGATAAGGTCATTGGGTTTTTTTCAATTGACCTAATCCTTCCAGCCGCACTATGGCCCTGTGGTTGACTCAGCCTCTAACAGAAATGAGTAACAGGAATTAATTAAATAATTTTCCTGGGGAGTAAAGCGCGGCCGGTGTGTAAGGCTGACAACCTTACTGCCATCTTTGAGCTGATTGTCTAGATAATGTGGGACCCTCAACGTCTCACAGCCCTGTGGGCCTTCGCAGCCTGTTACAGGGATAGCTTTACTTTTTTACCTTAGATAGAGGATAATCCACACTTATGGCATTGTGATAATCCTACAACTCTTGGGTGGATTTATTATAGTCAAATGGGAAACCTATGACCCGGATTAGTAGATTTGATAATAAAATGTTCATTAAATTAAACCTAAACTGTTTTCCAGTCTTGCTTGAAATGCCACCATAAAATGAACACACTTCATTGCATGACTATATGTTATTCTTACTTTACACTTTAATACACTCAACAGACTTGTCCTGTGAACTGGAGATGGTGTTTAAGAGATTGAAATAGGAAATCCATAGTTATTAACAGAAAATAAATGTGCTGTTTCTAGTCTTAAAGAGAGATTAAGTTAACACAGACACAGTTCAATCATCTGCCCATTTTTAAATAAAAATATGTAGTATGACATTTTAAAGTTACAGATGTCTTAACAGAGTAATTCAGTAAGTGAATGCTTTGAAGTTTGAATTCATTAACAACACAGAGGCTGTGCAGCCAAAGGTGGCCTTTCTTTGCACAAGGTGTGCAGATTTTCAGCTTGGAGAGCCATGTTCAGAAATATTTCCAGGAGGCTGACATTCATAATAATGGTTGATAGACACTAGTTGGAATAGCAGAATGTCACTGTGTTAACTGCTTTCTGATAGAAGCCATTTACAGTAGGAGAGCATCAATGTATTTATTGCTTATTAACTGAAGCCATTTACAGTAACATAATGCTGATGTACATATATAGTACATGCTTATAATGAGATCTTTACAAGGGAATACATGTTAATTTAATATGATACATGTTATGAAGTCAGATATTACTGAAAACTGCATGGAAGAAAGACATGTATATACTCTGTTCCAGAATTGTAACACCATCGAACCTGACCATTTGTCACTTTCACACATTTTTCATTTTGTGGCAGGTCATTTGCTTATTGTTTATTTTGGTGTCGCCCTTCAATCAGTTCTTTTCTTTGGGCAGTAGTGGAACATCAGGAAGGTCCCCTCATTGCTTGGGAACACAGCATGAAGAATCCCATCAGAATGACAGGGATTGTATAACAGCTGTCATTTTTACATCTTTGAAAACTATTTCTGCAAGGTAATGTTTGATGGCACCTTGTCATCAGTTCTCTCCGTTTTCAGAAGGAAAAAAAGGAGTGTCTTATGTGTTGACATTTCCACCTTTTCAAATACTGTGCCCATACGCTTCTCAAAAAGAACAGAAGGAAGCAATTATACTGAATTTGTATTTAGTGAAGGATGTAATATAATATTACCCCAATCCTTCAGGCATGCTCTGTAAAAGTAGAGGAATGTGTTAGTGAATTTTATGTTTGTTTGCATTTAATATGATGCCCATATGAACCAATATGGTATGGTGCTTAGCTTACATATCCTAGCACTGCATGACATAGTAACCACATAATCTTAGGTTTATATCCAATTTATTCAGGTTTAAAATGATTGCCGGTCCTGACTGAAAGTTTTCATAGCCTTCGTAACTCCATCTAGGTGAAAGCCCAGCTAATATATTGAAATAGGCAAGTGTCCACTTCCTTCCAAATTTATAAGTTTTAATCATCCTACCATTTCATTGAACACCAATAACCTGTGCAGTTGATGTGTAGTGTTGCAGACCAGTGTGTAGTGATGTGAGATTTGCGATTCTTATGGCAGTAACTGTGAAGAATACCATTTTTTGGAATGTTACACTGTGCACTCTGCGAAGAGACTACTGACATTTTAGAGGAACATGCTGCATCCATCTTCAGGGCAGAAGATGAAAGGGGCACATTCTTCCAAAACATCAGTCAGCTTCTACCAGACTACAGAGTGTCACATTCCAGAAGTCATTATTCTTCAACCCATAAATTGATCCTTGTCAATGCTAGTAATTGGTACCAAATCACTATATTACTTCATTCATGTGAGAATGCAGCATCCTTAGTGTTCATTCACACTATACATAATATGATCGATGGGGAATAGACCATCAGTACTGAAAATATTCTCAAATGTAAAATGTATTTTAATGAGTATGTTGTTGTCATATTTTGCAGGTACAGACTGCCACCAATACACATTTGTCATTAAAATACATTAAAATGTACATTTGAGAGTATTTTATCAGTCTGCTGATGGTCTGTTCTGTGTTTGTGACATTATGTATAATGTGAATTGACCCTTATATTCTTTTCATTACAGGAAGCTTGTGCTGTTGGTATAAAGGCTGCTCTTCGACCTCAGGATTCTGTAATCACTGCCTATCGAGCTCATGGTTGGACGTATGTGATGGGTGTCCCACAGTTGGGAGTATTGAGTGAATTAACAGGACGTCAGTCTGGTTGTGCTCGTGGTAAAGGAGGTTCCATGCATATGTATGGAAAAAACTTCTATGGAGGAAATGGTATTGTAGGAGCTCAAGTAAGTATGGATATCACTAACAGTTGAACACTTTACAGTCTGACACCTGCAGAGTATGTGTAAATTTGTCTGTTTTTATGTATTTGCCTAGTGTATTCGGACATGCCATACTTGCATGAAGCTGCTTTCCCATATAACTATCTAAAAAAGTGTAGCACAATTCAACATAACTGTTGCTGAAGTGGTAGATGGAGAAATCAGTTGTGATGTTGAGGACTTAACTGAACTGACTAAGAGTACAGGGTTTATTTTTCTGTAAGTAGTTATGACTTTGGGTTCTACTGGCTGATATTCCCCATTTAAGACAGGTGATTAGTTACCCCATCATAAAGTGGCCTCCGTAGTCTAGGGGTAACGTTCCCGCCTTGCGACTCAAGGTACGCGGGTTCAAACCAGGCGGAGGTCGTGGAATTTTTAAGGGCGGAAAAATTCAGGGAACAAGTCCTCCGGGAGGGACTTTAAGCCATGGGTCCCGTGTCGTAGCTTTACGGCACGTAAAAGAACCTCATGTCTCAAGGGGACCTCTGAGCCAAATTCAGGACATTTCCCGCCCAGCAGTAGTCTCTAACGCCTCAGGTAGATGGGGGAAGCATCGAGATACGGCTGAGCCAGTAGAGGCCAAACTCGCTGGCCGAGTCAGGACTGATGGCATGCACCAGTACCGGTAGGGTATAGAGACTGGTAGAATATCACAGGGGGACGCACAATGGACCAATATCTGGTCTAAGTGCATGGGGAAACCCACCCTCTCCAATAACAACAACAACAACAACAACAACAACCTCATCATAATTGGTGAAATGAAATGGAAAGCAGTTTGAGTGTTATGGCTTCATAATAAAGTACTGACTTGGCATTTCAATATGACAGAATAATTTAAACAAAATCATAGAACTTCGTGCAATAAATGGTATTTTACATTTTTATGTAGTGAAGTTAATAGTGGGCCTGGTTAGTACTTGGATGGGTGACTGCTTGGGGACGCCACATGCTGTTGTGTTGTTGGCATTCATTTTATGAGCCCACCCAGCCTTTTATCCAGTGGATACTGTGGGCTCTTTCCCTGCAGGTAAAGCAGTCAGGGAATGAAGCTGATCACTCACCTCCATCTAATGCCAGGGTCGGTGGAGCTATACCTCCAGTCCCCCATTTGCCTTCATGGAATAGGGCTTAATTTTAAAGCCCTCTATACCTTACATTTATGGGGAGCCTAATTTGAACTGAGCCAAGAGCTAGCTGTTTTGACTGATTTTTCTGACTGTGGGCAAATTGTGTAGTAGTGCTATAAAAAATTTATGACAGTTACCTCTCTGATTTCTTCTAACACTGTAACCCATTTCAGAATCAGGGGGGCAGTACTTCATATTCAGGAAAGTACTACCTCTAAGTCAGTTGTAATTCTGACAGCCTGTGACAAACTGTGACCTGATATCTGGATGCACACAATGAGAGAAAGCTAACTGGCCAATGAAAAGTTGGTGTGTTTTAATAACCCTGAAATTAAGGAACATCTGTGGTATGTGTTGCTGTACCTCCCTCTCCCCAAATGCTTAAGAACGTTCTGCCTGAAAACATGGCGTCATCCATTCATAATATGAATACACAGAAGGGAATAAAAGTACCTTACACACCTGTGAAGATTCTGCTTCAAACTGAAGTATTATGGAATTCTTAAAACTCAAAGAATTGCTGAAAATGGTAAAATAAAGCTTCATGCCTGAAACTACTACTACGTTAAACAATCCAGCCTGTCACCAGTGGATTGAAATGTATCCATGGGTTTCCTGTTTACATTTTATATTTTCAACTTGCAAAGCATTTCAGTTTCAGTATGGTCTGTTTAATAATGCTGAACTAGGAAGGTGTATTCTTCAAATACTGGACTTTGTTTTATGACTTCATTTCAGGTTCCTTTAGGTGTAGGAATTGCACTGGCTTCAAAGTACAGTGGCTCAGATGGAGTCTGCATAGCTCTCTATGGAGATGGGGCTGCAAACCAAGGCCAGGTGTATGAAGTATATAACATGGCCAAATTGTGGGATGTCCCATGCATATTTGTGTGTGAGAACAATGGTTATGGAATGGGAACCAGTGTCGAGAGGGCTTCTGCAAGTACAGCATATTACACCCGAGGCGATTATGTACCAGGGATATGGGTATTGTTTTTATTTAAGTATCATATATGCTAGCATAAATCTTGTTTTTCTCATGGCATAAAAAGAATGTGAATGAAAAATTATGGTATGGAACATGTATATCAGGGACCTGATGTTTTAGATTAGTAATGTTAAAAACTGTTGAAATTTTACTAATAGTCATCAATATCATTCTAAAATTGTGCCTTGGGTATAAGATATATTATTCTAAATGGTTCTGACGGTGTATAATACTCAGATTTGCTGTGTTTTTGGACTTTGTCCATTGTCCAGTATTCTAGAAACTAGAAAACACGTTTCAGAAACTGGATCTGTTTCTGTCCTCAGGGACTCAACAGTCTCCCCCCCCCACCCGAAGACGGAAACAGGTCCAGTTTCCGAAACATTGTGTTTTCTATTTTCTAGAATACCAGACACTGGACAAAGACCAAAAACCCAGTAATTCTAAGAAATATTATGATAGTTACTTTTGCTTGTTTAAATTTTAAACCTCACATGAATTCCTTTGGGAATAATTTTACGTCTTTCTGATTATTGACTTCTGTACCAGAGAAGTCTTTTTTTTTTTAATTTTCTGCTTAATTAATATTTGTAAATAATTTATTATAAAAGTGTCAGAAACTTTAAAACTTATACTCTCTTATACTGTTTACCTTGTATATCACATTGGGTTATATATTTATAACAGGATAATGACTGTTTCTGCATTGCAGGTTGATGGTATGGATGTACTAGCCGTAAGAGAAGCTGCTAGATACTCTGTTGATTACTGTACAAGTGGTAAAGGTCCTATTCTCCTGGAAATGGCCACATATCGCTATAGCGGACATTCTATGTCAGACCCTGGTACAAGTTACAGGACAAGAGAAGAGATTCAGGAAGTTCGACAGACAAGAGATCCTGTCACATCTTTTAAAGAGAAAATTATAGCAGCTGAATTAGCTACTGCTGAAGAAATGAAGGTACATGGCATAGAAGTTTCAGTCCAGAACTTGCTTTAAAATAAAACAAGAATATTAAGAGGGATTCAAAATGAATATGTCAAATCATTATGTATTCTGATGATGTATATTTATTAAATGGAAACATAACTACCATAGAAAGTCATTATATACTGCAATTACTCTAAGTAGCATTTCTCAGTGTGTCATTATGTTGTTTTCATGCCTTTTGCATGGAAGTGAAATGCAAAAGTCAACCTTTACTGTATTCCGGTTCAAATCAACATGTGAACAATCAAAGTGAATGGCATAATATAAAGGAAAGGAAAAATTAAGAGGGAAAGGAATGATAATAGTATGGACAAATAAGACAGACTGGAAATTAATACAGTAGAAGGGAGGGAATGAGATAGAGATATAAAAGTCAACAAATTAAACTTCCTATGAAATTTTCAGAAGGCATACACTAGTAATGTAGAAATCTTTACAGGGTAGCCAAGAAAGTAGTCTAGAAATAAATGTATAAAAAAATAAAGCTTTGAGAACTGTATCATATATTTAGAATATACGGCAGATTTATGATACAGTTCCTCGGTGTTTGCAAACCAAATGGCAACCAGCTGTAGATTACATTCATTTCAGAACATCTAGTATTTCCATTAACAGTTAGATTGACAGATNGAGAAGAAGATAGATAAGTGTATGCACTGCAAGACGGAATAAACAAGTTATGAACCTAAATATTTCAAATATGATTTTTCTCAAATTGTTTTCAGGCTTCTGCCACAGTTTATTCTTTTATTCTACTTATCATTTCATGGTAAAGGTCCAGACTGTAATACCAATTGCACGATAGATACCATCTTCTGATCATGTTCTTAACTACAACCAATGATAAAATGCTTAACACACAAACATGGTCAATTTATAAACCATATCCTACCAGTATTATAAGTATTAATTCCTATGAAGAATCTCTTATGCATTAATGCAGTTCTTTTGACTGAATTTTATCTGAAACTTCAATATTCCTATACCATAGAGATTTGGTTCATAGTTGTCTTATTCTTTCTTTCAGAATTTAGAAAATAAAATTCGTGCTGCAGTGGATGAGAATGTAAAGAAGGCAAAGAGTGACAAGGAGATTGGACTAGAAGAATTAGTAACTGATATTTATGCTGATAGCAAGGAAGAATATATCCGAGGAATAACACCATGGGATCGGTTGGAACACAAGACCCTTGGAATGGCTGTGAATGTATAAAATTTATTAAATAGAGTAAGGTTAGATACTTGTTTCTATACTACAGTTTTGAGGGCAACTCAGTGTACATACCATTTTTACTGGAATATGTGGTAGTGATTTCAAAGTATGGCAGTTTCCAGAACAATTTCATAACATGTCTTTGTATTGTTATATTTATTAATCTGACGTTAAATTTTTTGTTCCCATAAATGAGACCAATTACTGGCTAATAATGTTAATATTGTATTATAACAGAAGTTTTATTTCAGTTGAATTTAATAGTAAAACAATTTTTCATATACTGATAAAACCAGACTTGCACAAGTAATAGTAATTTCAGCTTCCTTTTTAGTATCCCTAACAGTCCAAGTAAATTTTCCTTAAACGTAAAAATTCCCTGACCAGTAAAAATATGAAGGCAACATAAAATATGGAATGTTATATTTTAATTGTTTTGTTTAAACTTCTACAAATTCTGGTGTATACTTGTGTCAGAAATGAAGACTTATAATACAGACAGACCTGAATGTTCAGCAGTGTGGGATTCAGTTCCATAGATTTTACTGTGTGACAAGTAATAAATACACTGAAATGGGTAGTAATGATTATTACTGTCAGCTGTGTGAAACAGATATCCGTTTTTTATTAATTAAAAATTGCCACTGCCTGTTTTACTTTAGACAAGAGGCGACATAATTCCGATCCACGTATTTTTGTAATCCATCAGAAACAAGGAAACTACTTCATGTATTATTTTGTCATTACAAATGCGCAAAAGATTGATCAGTATTGAAATGGCATTTTTGAATCCTTACTGTTATACGTATGTCCATAATGAATGTTTCTGTACTATCACACAACACATGATATTTTGGCCATTATATAATAAGTGATTGCATTTAATATTTATTTATGGTTTCTTTAATGATGCTGTCAGCATCTTAGGATATACAGTGTAGAATGGTAGGAAGAGTAGTGAGTTGGAAAAGATGCAGAAAGAACCTGCTTTGACCTAATTTGAAGTGTTACTTCTTGAGCCAGGCCGCTCAATTCCATTTCCTATTCACCACACTTCAAACAGTAAATTCTGTGATATGATACTGTTAGAAAGTGTCATAATTGGATACTCAGCAGTAACATTTTATTTAAGAATGAACTGAGCCAAATCTTTCACACAAACTTTAATAGAAATTGAAGCACCCATCTCTCTCATTATTCACTTCCTACTATAGGACACAATCAATACTGCAGTCACACAAAGCCAGTGCATTTTGTACTTTATTTAACAAGCCATCAGTAACAGAAAAATTAATAATGAAATGGAAAGGAAGTGGTCAAGGCCTAATTTAAACTCTTCTCCTAGCATTTACCTCGAGGGGCTGAGGAAAATCACAAAAAAAAAAAAAAACCCACCATGATGATGATGATGATGATGATGATGGAGTCCTGATCAAGATTTAAATGAGGCACTTCCCAAATACAGGTCAAATGTTACCACTTGAAAGACTCACTCAGTTAACACCACCGAATTTAAAAGTTTGTTTTTTTAGTGCTGGTGGGATGGGACTAAGTCCCTTGTACTGCGGCCACTTCTGGCCTATTGTACCAGCCCTAGATGATAGGTGAGGGTGATTGTGGAGCAATTGGTGGAATGAAGATTGGCAGTTGAAATGCAAGTACTCAGAGAAAACCTGCCCCACCGCCACTTTGTCCACCATAAATCCCACTTGACCAGACCCGGGATTGAACCCGGGCCGCCGCAGTGGGAAGCCAGCGACTAACCGCTTGAGCTATGGCGCAGCCAATTTAAAGTTACTTACCATCACTAGTGACATTCTGAAATTTGTTGTCACAAACACTTTCTTAATCTGTTTTAGGCATGTTTTATATAACAACACATGAGCTTTTGTACATCAATCCAACCAAATGCATGTAATGCTATTCTAAAATAGGATTTTACAAAAGTCCTCACTAAAATCTGTTAATCAGCTTTTGGATAAATCTGAGAACAAAAACTATCACTTTACATGAAGGCGTTAATACACGTTTACATGTATTTTGATAAATATTTAGTAAAACGATTTGAGGCAAAGTTGCATCCTTTAATAATGTACATTATGTACACCATCCTCATAACATAATTTTCAAATTGTGACTGTCAAAAGATAAAATGACTGACATATGTTTGTAACATATTGTGCATTTTGCTGCCTGTAATGAGCTATGGTGTATCAAGGTGAAATGAATGGATGTATGAATGCAGATAAAGCAAGACAGATCATTACAAACACCAATGTTCAGACAATAACAACAGAATATATAATTTATGAACAAACAACTAAAATGTACAACTGTCTGCTTAGTCTTTTTCCTTTAACAGTATATTCTAAAGCACACACGTTTAAATCCTAACACAACACATGAATTAATGATGAATAAACAATATATAAATTATGTAAAAATAAGGCACTGGCATAAATTAATTGTTGCTTCATTTAAGAACAGTCGGTGCCTCCCTCCAAGGATAACATTGTATTTGCACCTCGATTTAGAGGCCACTCTGACAGCCCATAAGTACTCACTGCAAGAATCATCCAACTCCAGACTGATGGATCTTCTAGCACAAACAGTTTACTACTACACATATGATGGTGTGTTGTATGTACTCGTATTCTTTCATGACGCTTCACTGCAGTGTGTACAAATATCAGATCAGATAATGTTTCTTATTCGAGCTTCAACATCTGTATTTCACAGCTTCTATTTGCTCCCATGTTTCATTAGTATCTTAAAAACAATTTTACTCCTTCAGCATTGTCATTTTCTGGATTGTAACACTGTGTAGTTTCATACACATTTTGCAGAAATCTGCTGCTTCCATATTCATGGAAAGATGGAGACATCAGATTCTTCTAACATACAGGGAATGACAGAAGTAGAGTCATCATATCCTAGAAGACCATAATTTTTCTTTTCCGCCACTGTGAAAACCTCAAATTTAAACAATTTTAATATTACTTCTACACATAACATGGTTTGTGCATCACTACTACAAACAGTAATCAGCAAGTGCAAGACATCAAATTTGTCTTTTATTTTTTATACAAGATATGCAGAACACTTCAGATGCAATGTGTTGAAAAAACAAGAGCAAACTTATGATGATTAAAAATGTAAATATGTTTATGAATCATGAAGTGTCATCTGTAAATAACAGGTGCTGTTTGATTGGGATGTAACATGTAAGAAAAGCAAATATAAATGCTTAAGAAAACAAAAGTTCAATATGCTGTAGGACTGAAAGAAATTATACAGGTTCTAGCCATCCCATGCTTATCACCACAGAAGCAATATTTACAGTAAGAATGTACCAACACCCCCCCTCCCCCGCCCAAACTGGAACACTGTTTCAAATGTAATTTTGAAATAAAACTCAAACTTTTGAATTTTTTAGTAAAATTTCTGAAACCTTGTTTTCCATAATACAGACAAATTCAATTTCCTTCAGTTACCCTCAAGAGCATCTGTTTGGAATATGAAAAAATTATGGACAATCAAATCAATTAGTTATTAATAAAACACCCTGTGCCAAATGAATAACGTACTATGGTTCTGAGTTATAACTGGTTATTAATTTCAGTTACAAAATTCATATGGTATCTTTGTTTCAATAATGGCCAAGAATGCTATATTTATTAGAGTAATTACTGAACAAATAGGAAGAGTTAACAAAAATATGCATTTATTTCACATAATATATATATATATATGTCACTAATGCAGCTCAGTCACTTTACATCCTCATTCACAACATTTTGGCTGTAGGTGACCCTCATCAGGTATCTACCACTATGCTGAAATGCTGCACTGCACAGTATGTCACAATCTCACATCAAAATTAAAATGTCAACCCTAATTCATTCATTCATTTCCTTTATTTTCCATATATCCATATAGGCAAAAAACAAGATGTGGAAATAGTCCCTTTGATAATAGATGTATACATGTAATAAATTACATAAGTCACACAACTAAAATAATACACACTCTAGTCAAGTAACATAGGCAATAGAAAAAAACAAAAACAAGAAGCTTATTACAATTGTAATTACTAAACATAATTTAAAAAGTGCATTACTATAAAAACTTAAAATTAATACAATTTCACCCAGTTTACCCAAATAATTAAATGCTTTCTTTATTTCATTTTCCCATAAATCAAAAAACATTGATACAGGACTCGTCATATACATACATACACATCCTCCACTTTCCATAAACATCTATACAGGGAACAGACCCAGGATGTGGAAATAGTCATCAAACACATATACAAAGTAACACAAACCACACAACCAAGATCACCCACATTAACTATCTAACATATATAACAATACGAGGCAAAAAGATAATATCCTGATTAACAGACATAAGTCAGTAGTAACCACAATACAACCCCTCACATCTCCCATACCAACTATATTAAAATGTGACGTTAAGCATTCAAATATTAATATCAGCATACAGACACTAGTCAACAATGCAACTACACAGGCTGGGTGCCAAAGGGGCATATACAGAAGAAAAGAACACCACACCTACATGCAGGAACTATATGATAACACAAATACACCCATGCCGCAGGGAAAGTTGCACAAACAAGTTGTTTGGATGAGTAGACGATACTCAAAAGAATGGGATTTAACTGGTAATTGACCTATTTTAATTTTTATTTCAATTTTGATATGAATTTGTGACATACTGTCCAGTGCTGCAGTTTAGCAAAGTGGTAGACACCTGATGATGGTCGTACAGCCAAAACATGTTGTGAATCCAGAAGTACATTGACTATAACAAGTTGCATTAGTGATATATATATATATATATGATATAAATGATATATTGATGCAACAGGATGCTTAAATAGAATATTAGAAGTATGCAGTTAAGGACAACTGTTTTTCAATGTTAAAGTTTTTAATCCATTAAAGATTAAAAATCCTTTTCAAAGTTGGAAATAACATGTTTCACCTAACCCTTAATAAATTTTCATACTTTAAAAAGTTATAAGTGACTCTAAAATGTACTCTGCATGGCCTTATAGCAACTAAGATTTAAAACAAAGTAACAGATAATTAACTAATTCGCTAAAGGGGGGTGGAGTCCAGCTGGGTCCACTCGGCACGGCAGCCACTGATTGGCCTATTGTACCTGCCCCGGGTGATTATGATGGAGAATTTGGTGGAATGAAGATTGGCAGGGGAAACTGAAGTTCTTGGAGAAAACCCGCCCCAGCGCCACTTTGTCCACCACAAATCCCACTTGACCAGACCCGGGATCGAACCCGGGCCACCGTGGTGGGAAGCCAGCAACTAACCACTCGAGCTAATGTAACAGATAAAGTACAGGTGAAACAAACACTTTGTGATTCAGGATGTCCTTCCATTTTAGTATATCTTGTAACATATACATGACAACTAAAACTCAAACTTTAAAAATTATCTTATTTTCCATTTATTAAAAAATGTTAAAGTTGGTAGTATTTTGATTACAAGCTGAATATTCCCAAACCTTCACACATTATTTCCAACAGATGGAAAATCATTCACACCTTTCTATACTGTACAGAGCATTACTTGGGTCTATACTGCACGGGTCAGTAACTTTCAGATTTCTATTCATCTTCTTCCACGTGACTTAATTTGTGTTCCTCACACCAAAGCTTGTGACTTAATATGTTAAATACCAATGATTAACAATCCTATGGCACCAGAACATTCCTAATGATAAGTCTTTTTGATTTCAACATATAGCGGCTTTACACTTCAATTATTACCTTATTTTCAAAACAGTTACTGCATTATTGACTTCATACACTTGTAGAATTAGACATCAGTCTTACTGTGCCCAAAACTCATTAGCTGGAGATAATTACACTATATACCATGGCTGCAGCCATTTAACTACATTACCTGGAAATAAACTTCGCTCTTTGACATATGCAGTTCTTTTCCATTATCTGATTGGTAGTTTCTCAAGGAAATCTCTTTCTATAACAGCCTCCAGTTCACTCAAACTCGCCGCCTTGCTCTGACCACAGTCTGACATTGTTATTGAGGGGGTGTAAACACTCAGAGCTGTGAAGAATGGGTGCAGTTCCTGCAGAGTCTTGATACTGGACGTCACCAACAGCAACCTGCCTGGAGATTGTGACAGTGTTGGCAGTGATGTCTGGAACTTAACAAACATGCTAATGTGTAACATGCATCTCAAATAAATCTGCCACAATGCAGAGAAAGACCCCAATACTCCACCTCTCCCACTCTTCCAACCCCATGGTTGTTATATACTAAGTCTATTATTAGCCATGGTGATGTTAACATTACTTAACACAGCCTGAACAGTTCTTATATGAAGCCAACATGGCAGCATTGCTGTGAAGGAATAAACTATGCCACCCACTGCCTGCCAGAGAAACATTCTGTATTTGACATATAATAAATAATGTTATTATAAGTAATTATATTTATTATATTATATATATTGTAACGTGTTTTTGCTACTGAAGACGCCGTTCAGATTGTTAATTGGTTTATTTGACAACCTACGAGACATAACTACAAATACTTATAACACTGTTGCAGGTTTAGACAATTTACGAACCCCACACAATAATCTCTTCAGTAGTCTTCACGTATTTATAACACAGGAGCTATACAAGTGTCACTGAATTACACACGCCCAATGCCTTCTCGGTTATCACCAACTATCACACATAAACTCTTCTTATCGTGGGTTCGGTTCTTCTTCTTCCTCTTCACGTTCAGAATTCACTCACTGCAACTGAACTCAGTGACTGATAGACTTCAACTGTCTTTGGCAGGTGCTACATTTTAACTCTCTCCTTACACATTCCAGTCTCCCTTATAAACCCTTAGCCAGACAGCAGACCCACATCTCTTCACTGTTGCGCAAATGCCATGTTTACAGGCATTGCTAGGGAATGGTGCCGAGAGTTATTGCTGTGTAGTAACCACAGTGTCCCCTGTTACGTCACTGTGGGAAGCACTGTTACTTCACCGCGGGGAGGGGGTGCTTACTAGCCTGTTACCATAGCAGCGGCAGCGGCTACTATGCTGTTACGTCACCATGCGGAGGGGGTATTTACTGAGCGTTGCATAATGATGGAAGAAGTGGGGGTATGTGACATCACTCACAAGACCGCAGAGTTCACGTGACCCCTACTTCCTCTTGCACCATCCACATCATAATATTTATTTATGTATAAGTAAAATAAAGGTATCCCTGTAACAGTCCGTGAAGGTCCATAGGGGTGTGAGATGTTGTGGCTCCACGTTTTCTAAACAATCAGCTCACAGATGACAGTGAGGTTGTCAGCCTTATGCACTGGCTGCCCTTTACCCCCAGGAATATTTATGTATAAGTACTGACACAAAATACATACACTGAGATGTGTTTAAATCACCCTAACCAAGAGCAGAATCTATACATGAGTATGGAATATGCCACTACATAAAGTAAATAAAATACATCCACAACTCTAATTATGAAAGTAAACTGAAAATTGATTAATCCTGTTTTATATGCTTTATAATTACTGTAAAGACATCAATATTATAATCCTGATATCTAAGATTCATTCAAATATAACCATGAACTACTTTTTAAGATATAAAAATTTTACAGTAAGGTACCTTTTGGTCCATGAGGCGAGTTATCCTCATCACATGGGGCACAAAATCAGGACGAGGTAGTTCATCATCTGAATGAGTGTTACTGGGACCAGCAGGTAGAGAAGCACCAACAAATGCCCAACGATACCTATAAAATATCAATATTTAAATAAAATTATGAGCCCTATACATTTCAATCTTCAACAAACCAGTACACCAGTTATTCAGGAAATTTCTTGAAAACGGCTGGTCTGGAAAAGATCCTGTGATATGCTATAGTTTCCTAAGCAATTTCTCTGGTTTGACAGTGCTCTGTACTCTTTCACCTTGCCAAGTCATGCCAGTACAGGAACTTGGGACTGAAAAAAAGAAAGATGAAGAAACTCAATTGATGGATGTACAAATCGTGGCTCAGTTAGCTGCCGGAGAACACAGCTTTACCAGTAGAGGCAGCAAATAACAAATAACTGCATGATGTAAAGTTAACATTACTCTGAAACATTTCACAGAGAAGATATCAAAGATGACTCATATACAAAACTTTATACATTTAAATCTTATCTGCAGAGTATCACATTACTGCATATGTACATGGTCCAGCCAGCCAAGGTTGACATTTTTCAATATTAATACTATTGCCCTCAAGTTATAAAATAACTTGCAGCCTTCTAGACACAGGTGATTTTAAATTCTCTATTCCTGGATGAAGTTACCCCCGAAGTAAAATATGACCACTAACCCTGTACCACTGAAAAATTTAAATTCCCCATTCCTGGGTGATAAGTGATAATCAACAATTTGGTAGCCTTAATTTCATGTTATTCCAAAATACCAATTGACATCAAATCCAACAAAAGATTTACTGATGAGACAACATCAAAGATGTTTTAGACATAGTATACAACGACTCTCAGGCTTCAATCCTGGCCTCCATCACCAATGCCTGCTCTGTTTACTGTATCCATAAAATTCCCCTAAAATCTGAAAACCTATATTTCTTACCTATTCAACACTTTATCAGAATTTAACACTAACAGAACAAGCAAACAAAAAGATAAATAATTTTAGAAAATTCCTATCATGAACTACCTCTTTCTATGAAATAAGGTGGTCGACACATGATCAGAACAAAACGAAGATTAATAGTGATACAGACAGGTTTTTCTTACCCTTTTAAGATAACACAAATCTTTCAGTGTTAATGAAGTCATGCATAGTGAAGCAATTACTGGGTAGCAATATGAAAATATGTTACTGAGGTAAATATTCTAACCTTTATCAAAATGGAATAGGAGTTTTAAATCCCTTGGTATTGCTGGGTTAGCTGCCAGTAAGGGGCAACAGTATTAGTGCTGAAAAAATGCAATGGAGAGCCAACAAAGGTTAAGATAATAATTTTGCCTAATGAAAGTTTTTGATAATTATCCTTTTTAGATTTTCATGATTTTTAAATATCTGATGGCACAGCACTGTTTTAGGTTCAGGTAAACAAGTAACAATCTACATCAAACCACTGCACAGTGTAGAACACACAGAATGTATACATGCCCAGACAAGAAACACATAGACCATATTGTATGATTATATAAAGATACATATCATGGGAATAGCATACCAATATCCACACACTAACAACTCATACATCATAGTAACTTGTCTTTGGGCTTCACAATCAGGCTTACTACGTAGAAAGCTTCTATAACAAGANCTTCACAACCGAGCTTACTACGCAGAAAGCTTCTACAACAAGACCTACAAACAACATACATGCCCAAATTTCTACACTGTAGCAGTGAAACCTTAAGTATTTAAGTCGGCATACACATTCTTAACCTACCATCGGAAATCCTTTAATATTTTTTAAACATTTTTAATATACTTTCAATATTTTTAATAATATATTCACCACATTATAAATTTTGATATATGATACACCTGTATATTTATCTTTTGTCTTATTTACATATTTGCTACATCAACTCGAGGCAAAAGTTTTATGTTAGTATATAATACGACGTGTTGCACCGATAAGGATCCATATCAGTATTTCAATGACTATACGTATTTCTGTGTATAACTGCCTGATGATGGTCTATAAGACCAAAACATGTAGCAGCAATAAAGACCAAAATTAAAACTGAGTATTTGTTGCGTTGACGGTAGACATAATCCTCTATATATATATATATATATATATAAACAAGTAACAATTTGATGCTACATGATTCTTACATCTGAAACTGTGGCAGCTGACGTGCAGGTAGACGGACAGCCAGGTCCAAAAGTTTCGCAGCTGCTAACTGAAGTTGCAGCCAATGTGGATGTCCATGAGCATCAAGCCCATTGTTACTATTCACAACCCAGGACGAGTCCAGTGCTGACAGCAGACGAATATGAGAACTGAAAAGATGCAACTATATATAATTTGTCACTGGAATATACAGAGACCTTTAACTGGTTAATACAACAAAGAATCAGCTCAAGAAATAAAAATGTATTATCTGTAATATAAAACTTATTGGTCACAGGTTTTATAAATAGGAAATGATCAGTAGAGAATAAGAAACCAAATACAACAAACTTTAAGCATTTATAACTTCTTAGTTTTCAAATTTGAGAGAAAGTCTGGATGAAAGGGAAGTTCATTTCATTTCATCATTTCATTACGCATTACCTACACAGCATCACACAGGAGAACAGCTGTGTATGATAATTAGAAAGTTATTGTGGCTTCTTTTGGGCACAATTAAAATTCAAACTAGGTACTCCACAAACATAGCAAAGATTCATTATCAACAACTGGTAAGCAACTGACAGCACAGGACTTCGTTATGCCTCTAGCAAGCTAGACACAGTCCAATGTCTGACGTATACAGGATGGCACAATGTTGGACCACCTTTTACCTTCAACATAGCTGCAATCCTTCCTACAGTGGACTCACAGATGTTTTGAACAGTCTCTAGCTGAATTTTATACCATCCTTCTTAAAGAAAATCTTCAACTTTCTTTAGATGTGTTGGAGGTGGGAATCTGTTCCTCACTCTAGTCTCCAAAACTGACCAGAATGGTTCACTTATGTTCAAATCTGGTGAAAGTACCAGCCAGGGAGTATGCTGAAGTTCATCTTCATGCTCTTCAAACTATGACCGAACAGTTCATCAGTAGTCAATGAGGAGGTTAAGATTTTTAATAGGAAGTTGAATGATGTAACCAGTAAGTATGGGCATACTTCCACAATGCACATAGGCCTAGCAAGAGAGGATTTTACAAGACATGGAATGCACCTAAGAAATTCAGGTAAAGATAAGCTTTTAACTTTGCTGACAGAAAAATTTGAAATACAACAGAGGAAAACACAAGCTGAAATGCCGATCAAACTAAAATGGAAGAAGGATAGAATAACAGATTCCGTGGATGAGCAGAGGATAGCCAGAGTAGCAGAACAAACTGCTCCTCCGAGAAGGCGACGAAAGATCCCAACTACGAGAAATAAGGATTTTTTATGGGAATGATTTATAATAAGAATAAGGTGGATAATAGTAGGCAGTGGACTTCACTTGTAATTTATCATCAAAATATAAGAAGCATTAGAAATAAGAAAGAAGAACTAGACATTTTTCTAAATGATGCATGTAATTATCCTGATATTTTATGTATCAGTGAGCACCATCTGAGTATAAGCGAGTTATCCATATTTTCTATGACAAAATATAAAATGGCAGCAGGGTTCTCACGTAACATGTGTCAGAATGGTGGAGTATGTATTTTAGTTAAAGAAGATTTATCATATCAAGAGCTAGATCTCAAAAATTTAAGTATGGAAAGGGTTTTCGAAGTCTGTGCTGTAAAGATAATTTTAAATAATAGGAAATTATGTATTTTATGTATTTATAGAGCGCCTGATGGAGATATATGTCAATTTATCGAGCGGCTAGATTCCACACTTTCATATCTAGTAAGCCTTAAATTGGAACCAATAATCTGTGGTGATACGAATATAAATTACCTTAGTGAAAACTGTAAAAAAGTACAATTACAAGCTTTATTAGATACTTATAATTTAACACAAATAATTGAGTTTCCAACTAGAATAAGTACTACTTCTGTCTCATTGATTGATCATTTTTTTATAGACAAGAATGCTTATAACAAATTCCAAGTTTGTTCTGCTATAAATGGTCTCTCGGACCACGATGGGCAAATTCTGATACTTGGAGACATGCTGGTGATGAGGCAAAGTGATCATGTTAGAGCATATAGAGACATTAATGAGGAAAACATAGTATGTTTTCAACGGGCTTTACAGAATGAAAATTGGATAGAAGTTTATAATCAAGAGAATGTAAATATGAAATTTAATATCTTTCACAACATTTTTTTATCAATCTTTGAAAATAGCTTTCCCATAGTATATAAAAAAAAGAAAGACTCTAATAATTGGATAACGAAAGGCATAAGAATATCTTGTAAGCATAAGAGAGCATTATACATCTTAGTTAAAAAATCAAGTGATGATAGTTTGAAGTTATATTATAAAAGATATTGTAAGATACTAGTAAGAGTAATAAGAGAAGCAAAGAGACTGTATTATCAAAAATTAATAATTAATTCAGAAAATAAAATACAAGTAACTTGGAAGATTATTAATAAAGAATCCGGAAAAAACCAGGTCTCAGATAAAGTAACAGAATTGCAAGTGGGAGAAAGTAGAGTAACGGATCCTAAGGAATTAGTGAGAATATTTAATAAACATTTTATAACTGTAACTAAGAATTTGGCAACAAAAAATGCTGATAAAAGTGAGGCAATTAAATTATTAAATAACCTTAAGTATGATAACTTACCTGAACTGAAATTAATACCCGTAACTGAGGTGGAAATAAAGAATATACTTAAGACACTAAAATCGAAAAATTCTACAGGCTATGATGGTATTTCTAGCAGAATATTAAAATATAGCATTAATCAAATAAGTAAACCACTTGGACATATACTTAATGCATCACTTGAACGTGGAATTTTTCCCGATAGAATGAAATTTGCGTCAGTAAGACCTTTACACAAAACAGGTGAGAAGGTCGTTATGGCAAATTATAGACCAATATCACTGTTAATAATCTTCTCCAAGATATTTGAAAAAGCGATGTATAATAGGATAAAGCAGCACCTACATACAAATAATCTAATTTCATCTGCTCAGTTTGGATTTAGAGAAAATAGAAGTACAGAATCTGCAATCTATGCCTTAACTAATCATATATTAGAAACTTTGGAACGACGCTGTCTTTCATTAGGAATATTCTGTGATTTGACAAAGGCATTTGATTGTGTGGTGCATGATATCCTTTTGAGCAAGTTGGCTGTATATGGACTTGGTGGTAAAACTTTAAGATGGTTGAAATCATATTTGGGAAATAGAAGGCAAAGAGTGGAATTGTATACTAATGGGAATGAAAAATGTTGTTCAGGATGGGAGATTGTTGAATATGGAGTGCCGCAGGGCTCGATTTTGGGTCCCTTGCTGTTTCTTTTATATATCAATGACCTGTCATCAGCATTAAATACTGATGATAGGTTATTGTTGTATGCAGACGATACAAGCATAGTAGTGTCTGGTATTGATATTGATGAAATCCAAGTAAGGTCTAACTTAGTGTTGAATTCTTTAAGCCGTTGGTTTGCAGTTAATGGCCTGTCTCTAAATCTGAAGAAAACTAAAGTGGTAAAATTTGATACAACTAATCGAGATAATATGTCTATACATTTAAAGTTTAATGATGAGATATTGCATCAGGAAACCCACGTTAAATTCTTGGGCATTGAAATTGATAAGACCCTGAATTGGAAGTCACAGATTGAATCGATGCTGTCCAGATTGGGCAAGGCATGCTTTGCAATAAGAAACATGAAATTGTATAGCAATATTGAAACACTAAAGATGATTTACCACGCATACTTTCATTCAATTATGAGATATGGGATAGTATTTTGGGGAAACTCGTGGGAGGCTAAGAAGATTTTTCTTTTACAAAAAAGGGCCATCAGGATAATGTTGGGAATGAAACCCAGAGAATCATGTAGAACAGTTTTTAAAAAATTAAAAATTTTGACATTGGCTTCTCAATATATTTTATCTTTAATGATACTAATGGTAAACAATCTGGGGCATTATACTTTTAATCATACAATTCATGGTAAATCAACAAGACAAGTTAGAAACCTTCATGTTCCTCAATCGCATCTAACAAAGAGGCAAAAAGGGGTCTATTGTATGAGTGTAAAAGTTTTTAATAGTTTGCCTGATTTTTTAATTGAGTTGGTACATGATAAAAAACAGTTTATTGAGAAACTAAAGGATGTATTGCTTCAAAACCCTTCTTATACTGTTGAGGAATTCTTGCTTTTCTGTCAAGACCTGTCAAGAGGTGTCTGACAGGGTACACTTCATTTAACTCTATGTCCTTGGCTGTGCTTATATATTCTTGCTGCAATTTGTATTGCTTTTTAACTATTGTATGTGTACTTGTTGCAATTTGTATTGCTTTTTAACTATTGTATGTGTATTTTCTGCAATCTGTATTTCCTTTTAACAATTTTATGTGTTTTTTTGACAAGTATGGATTATATATGCTAGTGATTTTGTTTGTGAATGTACAAGTTTCCAATGTCTTGTTGGCTTGTTGACATGTTTTATATTCTGTGCCTGTGCACATTTGTGAATAATCTGAAACGCAAATGTATATGTATGTATGTATGTATGTATGTATGTTCCAGCTGTGTCATCTTGGAAAACTGCATCACTCTTCAGAAATAATGTCTGGACCATGGGATGCACCTGATTACCCAACATGTTCATGTACTCCCCTGTGGTAATTCAACCATGAATGGTAATAATGGGGCTAACATAATATGGTACCATGACATTGCTGCCCAAACCATCACACAACCTACTCCATATTTCACTGCAGGAACCAAGCATTCCAGGTTGTAAGCTTCCTTGGGTGTTCTCTGAACATAAACTCTTCCTGACGTAGGGAACTGCGCAAAGGACGACTCATTATCATGCAAGCGTCTCCAGTTGTCTGATGTCCAAGTTTTATTGTCGTGACACCGTCTGCGTATCTGAACATTACTTTCAGTAATCAGAGGTTTAACAATTGCAGCCCTACCACGAATGTTGGATTTGTGAAGCTCACATCTGATAGTTCTTGTGGAAACAGAATCTTCAAGATGAATATTCAGCTCTGCTGTCTCAACACCTGTGCTGCAGTAGTTTTGTGATTTTTTAAGACAATCCTCAATGCACGACAATCTCTTTCTATCAGTGCTGATTTTTGCCCACTATACCTTTTTGCTGATGTAATCCCATGATTTGGTGTATGCTGACATAACCTTAGAAACTGTCGCTCTCGATACATCTAATAATGTGGCAGTTTTTGTCACAGATGCTCCAGCTAAACGCGCACCAATGATCTGTCCTTTTTCAAAATAGGACAAATCTCTTGCTGTCCGATTCTTTCACATGGACTCTCACTCAACATAATCACTAATACACTGACATGAGAACTACAGAGCGTAAACAAACAGACAAAGAACATTTACTGTTGCCCACTTAAGTTCTTTCAGTGTAGACAACACAAATTCTTTCCCTCAGTTTCTCAGTGTTTCCATTATTTTATCCACCCCCTGTATCTCATAGACATTCTGCTCTGATTTTAGTGCTACTTTTGTGACACTCCTTATTTGATACAATATTTCAGAGATATTTATACGGCCACCATCAGTTAATTGGTTGTCATTGTAATACTAATAAATATTTTGTATTTACTTTTACTATAAAGAATAGTGGCAACAGGTCAAATTGAAAATGGTTCTCCCTATTACACTCATATGTCAATCATTGTTCCATCATGGCAGCCAGGATTAGTTACGGTTACAAATCTCCGTACGTTACTTTTAGATTTTTTTTTCAAATTCATTTCTTGTAGTCAAATCTAAGACTCCTTGAACACTGAATGTAGTCCCAACAACTGGTACTGTCCAATACAAGCGTGATATAACAGGTCAGCCTCTGTCACAAACCTTTATAAAATCATTAGAGCTTTCACTTTTTCTCAGGAAAGGAATTTCCTCTACTACTCTGAAATAAATAATATAATATGATTTCATCTTATTCATGTAATGTCATACTATTATTTATACTAGTGAAGCTGAAAACGACACAAAAGTATTTTCAAAATAAGTCACTTGCATAATAAACCTCACCAACATATAATCTTCATAAACATTAATGAAGCATTAGTTCTTACTCAAAATTTCATAATACAAATTTAGGTATTTAGAGTATTTTTATTACATCTATAAATTACTGTGTTTCCCAGTATTTAAGATGCATAATGCTTTAGGAAGTACAAATTAAGAACAATTCTTAATTTTTCTCTTAGCAAATAACTAAGACTGAAGACAAATGAAATGTGAGAAGGGATACAGCTTATAAGAGTAATGTAAAATGTAAGAGGTGTATATTTACGATTTCAAGAAGTCTAAATAATGAAATGATCGAATAAGGATAGGATGACAACAGGACACCTGCAGTTTCAAGGCTAATATCAAAAGGGAGGGACACAAATTCTAATCTATGAGTAATTCTCTTGAGGCACATGGTAATGTAGTTGATTAAAAGCATTATGCTACAAGCTGGATGGTTGTGGGTTCAATTCCCAACGAAATCATATGATTTTTCAATTAACCTAATCCCTTCAGCCGACTGGGGTTGACTCAGTCTCTAACAGAAATGAATACCAGGAATCTTCCTGGGGGTAAAGGGCTACCAGTACATAAGGCTGACAGCCTCACCACCATCTGTGAGCTGATTGTCTTGAAAATGTGGAAGACTCAACATCTCACAACCCTATGGGCCACAGCCTGTTACAGGGATAGCTTTACCTTTTAGGAGTAATTCTTATGAAAATGGCAATCTGCTGACCAGGGCACTAAGAGCAAGGGCCAAGAAGGCCCACCCCTCATACATTCACGGCTCTAACAATACCAAATTTTCATCATTACTTCCTAATGATATGCCATACTGCTGTATAACATACAGTATGATAGCCAGGTCATTTTTTTACAAGCTGAGAAATGTTTCAACTCACTGGAACATACAATCTAAACAGTGTGTTAAATGTGCATTATAATCTGTATCCCTTATATCAAGATTAAGTTTAGGAATGGCAAATTCTGCAAAGTGTGAAAGGCAGTGAAAGCAATACATGCAGTGAAGAAGCAAAGCTTTGTAAAACTTACCTGCTGCATGAGGGCTCCAGACTAAAATTAGCATATCAGCAAATATCAATGTACAGCCTCTCAAAAAGCTAGTTACCAGGGCATGCCTAACCTCACCACACTCCCCACACAACATTCCAATAAACATTAAACAGATAAAAGTAACTGTCAATGTTAAAATATATCAAAGCTAAAAATTGCACAATAAGGGTTAAATATGTTGCAACATATTTAATTGCATAACTTATGCAGCTCTTCTGGTTTAATTACAAATTTGTAAATTACATGAAAAATATGTCAGATAAGTTGAGTTTACTAATGAGAATGGGACTGTGGAAAGAAAATCAACTGAAACTAAGAAATGCATTCAGAATTACTGAGTCTCTGGACCATGTCTCTTGACTGGTATCCTTGAAACTAGAAAACACAATGTTTCAGAAACTGGATCTGTTTCTGTCCTCAGGTGAGAGGGGAGTGGAAGATACCTACTCATTTGGGTCCCTTAGAAAGAGCTAACCTCAATCACTGGGCAACCCCTGTCAGATTCATTACAGCTGTATAATCTCCTGGGACCAGGCTAATACGGCAGGAGATAACAAGAAGATATGTACTAAAAATTGTGATAGAGCACGCACATGCGTGGAATTAGAACGCATTTAGGTTTTCACGGCAGTGGACATTCATACTGTCATGTGATGGAATGACTACATATGTTGTGTGGATTGGTAATTGGACTTATTGGTCACTTTTAGCACATAACTAAAGACTACACTTACTAATCACTATCAAGCAAAGACTAATGTTCTCAGCCACGGTCTTCACTATGCTGCTTGGTAACACCTTCCAACAGTGGATGATCCTCTACTCCCAGGCTCACATGCTCACAAGCTGGCAGTCATTTCACACCAACATCCTACTCTTCTAACTGCAGTCTCAAGATTGTCAATTGACTGACCTGTAATGGCAGCTGGTCCCCATCATATATAGCCTTGGCATGGAATGCACAGAAAACACCTCTTCCAACAGCTATTTTGTTATTACGTGCATCTGTTGCAGTTATCACATGACGGCTACTGTGCCATTGCCTAGCAACAGGAGTGTTTGCAGTTCCCTAGCAATTGCTGTCCCTGCTGGCTTTCAGCAGAAATGCCACAAAATTGTTCTCCCCTGAATTACAACATGATCTTGTCTGGTATGTGGGTACCAGTGTATCAAAAACACATACAGCCCATCTCCTTCTGCAACTGAGGATAGAGGCAGTAAGTTAGTCCAGAATGTTTGTACCCACCTACTGGACTATATGGGGGACTGTAGCTTGCTTTCTGATGCTGTCAGTATTTGGCAGTATGAATGATGAATAATGAAATGCAAAGAATTTAGAATGAAATGGCCATGGCCTAATCAAGGTACTATCCTAACACTTGCCTGTATGGACCAAGAAAAACCATGAGAAACCTCAGTCAGGATAGCTGAGATGTGAACCAAACACCTCCTGAATACAAGTCTGGGGCACTGCTGCTATATCAACCTGCTCTGTATCTGCACAGTGTCATAACCCAGAAGGAAACAATACACATTCTCTCCCACTGTCATATAAAGAAGGTTGCTTTGATTATATGATGATAAAAACATTACATATTTACCAAAAAGAAGAGGTGCATAAATTATGCAACAGAAGTCAGCACAGCAACTAAAAGTTTGGCACTTCAAGCAAACTTCTCAAAACAAATAAAAAAGAAGCATCAGTCTTAACTTGTATTATTTGCCAAGTATAATTAGAATGATCACAAGTATGGGATAGGCAGGGCATGTAGCACACATGAGGCAGAAGAGGAGTGCATATAGGATTTTGGTAGGAAAACCAAAAGGAAAGAGACCACTAGGAAGACCTAGACATAGGTGGAGGGATATTAAAATTGATCTTAGAAAGGATGGGGTGGTATGGACTGGATTCATCTGGTTCTGGATGAGGTGTAGGGTTCTTGTGAACATGGTAATGAATCTTTAGGTTGCATAAAATGTTGGAAGTTCTTGAGTAGCTGTGCAACTGGCAGATTCTCAAGAAGAGCTCGGCCATGTAGTTAGTTAGTTAGCCATGTTTTAATATTGCAAAAAAAAAAAACAACCTCAAATTTCTATTTACCTGTTGTTCCTTCTGTACCTCCCATCACCAAGGATATATTTTTCACCCAAAAGGGTGAGGAGCAAGAGAAAAACAAAGAGAAAACCTTAATTAATATCACAACAATCCCACACAAAACAAGACAAGACAAAAACACTTTAAAACACAAACTCCTGGAATCATGTTCATACGTTAGTATGTTATTGAAATAAGGCTGGAAGTTGTTAGTAACTTGTTGCTAAACTACTAGGAATTGTCACAAATCATTAACTACAATGCAAATTTGAACTAAAGGGAGAGAAATTATTATAAGTAGAATAAAAGTTTCTGTATAAACATATTTTACTACATATTCCCCTCTTAGCTAATCTCTCTTAAGTTTATGTCATGAAATTGCTGTAATGGTCCAATCAGGATTATGTTATATTGGTATGGACATCACCCCACTGTTTTCACACACCTCCAATCTTTGTTCTTCCCTATGAAAGGAAGTCCAAGTAAGTGTAAACAATAAGTATAATTATAAATACATTGCATAGCTTATACTTCTTCAATCCTCAATAGATCATGACTTTTAGCCAATCAGCAGCGAACTGGCATAGACGCATGTCCAACATGATGTCTACATCCTTCCATTTTCTTTCTGGAAAGATGGCAAAGAGTTTGGACTCCTGTTTCTAAAAACTTCCCTTTTGGACTTCCCTTGGAGGCAGAATGGGAAAAGAAGGGGCATGTCACAAAGGAGGTTAGTGTTCTTACTGGACAACATAGCCAAGGAGTAAGTATGTATGTACATTATTTATAAAAAACACTTCTGCTAAATCTATATTCTTTTCCTGAGCTGAAGGCAGAAGCATATTTGGAATGCAGGTGACTACTGGTTTAATTTCTCATTCCCAGAATATCTGAGACAAAATCAACAAAACTGTTATCTAAACTAAATTTAATTATGAAAAAATGGTATGGTGTTCCGTGACCCAACTGATTTGTTGCAACAAAATGTACTTCTCAGTACACAATTTTTTTAAACCCCTAACTAAAGATAACAGAGGCATGCCGCAGCATAGTTGCTTGAGGCACTATGCTACAAGCCAGAAGGTTGTGGGTTCAAGTCCTGATGTGGTGGATTTTTTCAATTCACCTACTATATCCAGCTGCACTATGGCCCTGGGGTTGACTCAGCCTCTAACAGAAATGAGTACCAGGAATATTCCTGGGGGTGAAAGGCAGCCGACACTAAAACAGGAGCATGTGGTAGCGTACTTGGTTGAGGCACTATGCTACAAGCCGGAAGATGGTGGGTTTGAGTCCTGATGTGGTGGACCTTTTCAATTGACCGAATCCTTCCAGCCACACTATGATCCTGAGGTCAACTCAGCCTCTAATGGAAATGAGTACCAGGAATATTCCTGGGGGGAAAATGACAGTTGGCGTTTAAGGCTGACTAACTTACCGCCATCTGTGAGCCAACTGTCTAGAGAAAATGTGGGAGACTCAATGTCTAACAACCCTATGGGCCTCCATGGCCTGTTACAAGGAGAGCTTTACTGTTTTTTAACTAAAAAAACACTGGATACACTGCCAACCACTAGACACTGAAACTAGAATTTCTCTATTATTGTTATTATTACTATTATGAACCTAACAACACTGTATGTAAATCTTCTACAAAGTACTAAATGTCATTTGACATTCTTCATTGTTTAGATTATTGAAAACTTTTGTTGCCTTGGGCAGAGAATGAAATCATGTCTCAAAACTTTCTATGAAAGTGCTCTACCCCTTTATTATCATGGGTAGCACTGTTAGAAGGCAACATTCTTCACTGCAGAGCTCTAATTATTATATATACCCAGCATAATATTCAAAATTCTGTGATTCCATGGAAAATGTTATAATGATGTGCAACTAATGTAAATCCAGTACATCTGTTATTACATACCTGAATTCCTCTGTGTCAGTACTCAGTTCTTGTTCAATATGGAGGAATACTTGCACCATCTCACTGACAATGATAGGCCACAGGGAAGTGACATGTTGGGGAGACATACGCAAAAGCAGCACTCGAAAACAAAGGAACACCTGTGCTTGGACAGACGGCACAACCTGAGGCAACCTAAGACTGTCCGCAAGTCGCTCTAAAATGAAAGAAGTTATTTATGTGTTATGTAATTTCATATGTCTTAACTTGTTATGTGCCACTGTTCTAAAGACAAACATGTAAGAGTTTCACTTTTAATAATTATTATTAATATGTTAAGATTTTATAAACTACAGATTTCATGAATAAATACAATATAGAAGAAACTGGAAAAAACATGCTGACAGTATGAGCTCCAACAGAATTCCAAAATATCAACAAAACAGAAAAGAACTGAACTCTTCTTACATCTTTCCATGTGTATTACCTTGTTTAACCTCACATCAAGGAGGAGCAAATATCATCTCCTGAGTAATGAGACAAACAATACCAATGCTGGAAACATCTCTACATATCCCCCTTTATAATACAGACTAGAAATGTCTAAAGTAGCTGAGATTCCCACTTTATTATGCAAAAGGCCAAAACACATTTACCTTACGAAGTTAACCATGTTATATAGTTCATGAATGTGGGGGTGGAAAATTAATTCTCTTCCCTACTACTACAGACTTTTCAAACTCTCTGAACAACAAATGACTAAAAAATTATGGATTAGCATCAGGAACACATATAATGGAAGATGATATTCTATGTTACACTATGAACATTTCCATGACATGTTACCTTGGCACAGCTGAGCTACATCCTTATGAAATTGAGCCTTCAGGTCAGCAATGAAAGGGTTAATCACAAAAACAGATATGTCCTCAAGAACCAGTTTAATCCTCTGAAGCATGAGATTCGGCTAAATAATATTTAAAAATTCAGTTCTGCCTCACAGGAAACATCACTCACTCACTCATGGAGCTGAGCCCTTCCTGCGAAGCCGCCAATTGTGCAGCCACTCAAGAACTTCATTTTACAGAGCCCAAAGGTTCATTACCATATTCACAAGAGCCCTCCAGCAGTCCCTATTCTGAGCCAGATAAATCCAATCCATAACATTCCATCCTATCTCCGCAGGAAACATACTGTGTTTATTCTGAGAATCAAATATAATGAATAAACACAATCTGCAGGAAAACTTCAGAGTACAGTGAGTTTAATGATACTAATAACTAATGACATGTTTCACTACAGTACAAACACATAGTGAAGTCCTGATGTAGAATCTTGACAATGGCTCACCTTGTATTTCAGGCATATACTTGTGGTACTGGTCAGTTTCACTGCAAAGAATAACAAAAGCAAGTCTCTTCAATAGCTGAGCTCTCTGTTCATATTCCTGCTCTCGACTAGAGAAGATGCTCAGAGAGCCACTCTGAGCCACAGACACTCGACCTACAGGGACACATTTGTAATTAGAACTGCTGTTGAGACAATTAAATAAAAGCAAATTAACATTCCTAAAACTACTTTATGACTCCATGATCTTACAAATCAGATGGGTGCCAGTTGCATATAAACATGGCCATACAGCAAGCCGAGTAGACAACTGGCAAAGTAATGGCACTATTAAGAGATGCAAGGAAATTGCACATAGCCAAATGACAGCATTACAAGCTTCTGAACTTAATCTACCATATAACTCAATCTACTCTATTCAAATAAGGGGAGGAAATATTTTCTACAAATTATATTATGATCAATAACATTGCCTGCATCATGCTACGATCAAAATTGTGTAAGTAAATACAATAATCTTTAAACTACTGTTCTGAATCAGAGGGGTGCAATATAGTGTCAAATTTTAGGTTGGGAGTCTGGAACCAAATGATTAGTTATGCTTCACTGCTTGTAAAAAATAACAGAGTTACAGTTGTTTCTGAAAATTTTTAAGCTTTGCAATTAATCAGAAAATGAAAATGTATAATAAGAAATGAGGACAAGAAGGATTGTACACCTTAAATGTTATCACAAGGACATATGTACTTACTCATTAGGTCCCTGAATGTTGTATTGTCATGTGTCATCAAGTTGTCCACAATTGTTTTCCAATAAGGAAGAGAACTGGCTTCCATCTGGAAGAAAGCTGGATCAAGAAGCAGATCAAAAACATCTCTACGCCAAGCTTTTCGAGTATACTGATAACCACTTAGGCTCGCCAGTAGCTGTGAACACGCATGGAAACTAGGTACGTTGCGGCGACTGTAACAAAGAAACAATATGTAAGTACATACATTATACAGAATGAACTATCCTATTATTAAAATTCTTGGCAGTAAAAACTTCTATTTCTATGGAAAATAATAATAAAGCGCATAATTAAGCCAGCTATTTAATCATAATCACAAAACTGAATAACTTTTGAATCGGGGATTCCAGCGTTACTTACATTAACGTATTTCCTAACAGAGGTGTCACAGAATTCATTCGATCAAGCTTCTTATTGTCACACATAAACTTATTCTTTATTTGACAGTTATGGTATACATGTGAAATGCATCATGAAATAGGTGAGGTTTTGTTTTTCACATTGATCTCCATTTACAAATGACTGCAGCTTCATTTTTTCCCAAACAAAAACTAGAGAATAGAAGATATAAATTCATAACACAATTACTTCAGTGAGTAACTGGAATTTACATGGAAGAAAATGAGATAAAACTACAAAGAAAGTCATTTGCCACAACATACCATAATACACATTCACTGTGTGTTTTAAGCCTCACCTGTGATTTTTAAGATACGGTGTAATGTTGTACATGAGAGCTATGAGAAGTGCTACAACTCTTTCCTTTTCCTGGCTGCCATAGCTGACATCAAGCAGGGGTGCTAACAACTCTGCCAAAGCTGCTTGAGCTTGCACACTATATTGTGCTGCTGACAAGCATGGCATTCCTAAAGAAAAAAGGGGAAAGTTTCATCATACATTTCAAATGAATATACTTCTTTGCCCTCCACATGGGCTGCTACAGAGTTTACACTTCATCATTTGATTGGTTCTTACAGATGATGTGGCACTTCACTTGCAGAGCCCCATTATGGTAGTTTGTCATTCATGGTCTAATTCCTGCTGTAGTTTAACTTAATTTATTTTACAAGGGAATCTTGAAGTGATGACCCCTTGTTTCTAAGCATACCTCACACTGTGAGAGTACGTTTCTAGACACATTCATTCATTTATTTACATTCCATGGATCCTTACATGGCTGGAAGACAAGTGGATATAGAAATAGACAAAGACAACAGGACAAATTCAATCAATTATATCAATAAAAATTAATTATACTCAATCCATTACAATTACACATATTATCTGAGACAAATCGCAATGAGTAAATCATTAAAACAGTTATAAAATATATATGTAAAAGAATGCAACATACTAATATGGCACAGGACTACATACAAAACACAGCGTATAACAGACCAAAATCGTTAATTAATATTTAAGTTAAAATATTCAAAGCTGCTGCACAGAGATAGTGGACATTTCATGCCTAATATTTTCTTAAAGTTCTTCCAAAGAGCATTGAATGTTGTTAGTAGAATCATAGTTACAAGGAGATAAATCTGAACATGTAAGATCAACCCACCTGAACCTTCCTTCTCTTTAGTTCCCACAGTTATGGCAGGTTCTTCCTCTCTCACAGCCAAATTACGCCTCAACCATGTTGTCTGCTCTAGGCAGGCTCCTGCAATTTGGGCACAGGATTCCACAAGCTGTGAAAGAAAGAACAAAATGATAAAACTGTTTTCAGCAATTACATACAACTGAATTTTAGGTTATCAGCAAAGAGGCAAAGAAATTCTAAAAGGATCATTATTTCCCCTTTACAGCCCTTCAATTCTTGGTTCTTTGAAACTTGCACACAGTTGATGGCAGAGCAATATCATTTGTGACCTGTATTCAGGGGGGGAGATCTAATTTGAACAATGACCAGGGAACCAGCCGAATTTTACTGAAATTTTCCATGTTTCAATTAGTTCTTCCAGGCAAATATCATGACAGCAACTTGAAATGATACACATCCACTTCCATTTCTTTCAGTTCACCCTAATCCCTCATTCTCCTCTCTCTATAAAACCCACATAACCTCTGCAGTTGAAAACATTATGTAATCCACCAGGTGAAACACAGATTCACTGATTCTCTGAAAATAAATCATCTCTTCATCCATACAATGTCGCCTAATAGCCAAAAACTAAACTATATAGTATTATAATTACACAACCACCAAAACAACAAATCTGCAATAAATCAACCAACATTACTGCATTAACATTCATTTATTATGTATATTTGCTACATGTTTCAGTTCAGCTGGGTCATCATCAGGTAATTTTTATGAAGTCTACTACTTGTTATTGAATTGTATTTCTAATGTGGGCCGATATTAGTGGTCATTAATATAAATTTCAGTACAATTCCTGTGTTTCATTACTTTTTAATGTCAATCATAAAAAATGTTATGACTCTGTTAAAAGTTAAAAAATGTCTATTAATTCTAGCATGTAGTACAAGTCTGTGGTCTTGTATGATAAAGCAAAGAGGCTTTCCGGGAGTCTGATCGTTTTTCAATTCTCTGTGCACATATTACATGGCAGTTTTCCGTATGTGAGTGATGTTATGTTCTTTTTTCCTTTTGAGTGATGGCAGTAAAGTTACTGTGTATGTCTGTATTATGTCCTGTATAGGGGTGCTACATCTTCTTGCTATTACATAGCAGTTGGTCCCATTCTTTGGTTCTATTTGTACATACAGAACAATATATATATATATATATAGGGTGTCCCAGGAGGAATGGACCAAACTTCGGGAGGGTGTTCCTTATGTTAAAGTATGCCGATATAACCCAAAACACCTATGTCCAAAGTTGAACGGTTACGGAGATAATGGCCAGAGAAGTGTCAAACTTTGACCGGTGTTACACACTTGTTGATTACAAAATACATATTAAAACTGGCAGGAATATGTGGATTCTGTAATGTTAATAATGTACGTAACATCAAACTAACTTGTGAGTGACGG